CTCCTCCTCCTGGACGGCAGGGCCCACCATCTCTGCGAAACTTAGGAGATGGGAGGATCGACCCCCGAAACTTCCTGGATGGCCCTGCCAGCCGCTCGGAGTGGGTCGGCTACGTCTGGCACCCCAGGTCCAGCCGAGTGAGCCCAGCCTTCCGCGCCCTGCCGAACCTTTTAGCCCCCCTCCCTGATGCGCCGAGAGCTGGGCCATCAGGCCCCGAAAAAATCACGCGCAGCTCCACGTCGCAGCCCAAGGCCAAATCGAGGAGGCGATCCGCATCACCCGTCAGAAGGTCACACTCGCATCCATCCGCAGGGCCTCGCCAGGGCCACGGTCCGTGAGCGAGCGCCCCAACCTAGATCTAACAGATTGGCAGCCACGGCTCCAAGGGATCCCTTGACCCTTCCCCACCTGGGCTCGGCAGCACTAAGGTCGGCCCACGCTTCCCCCCGCACCATTTGCAACGGCGCTTTGGCTCCTGCGAGAGCAGCAGGTAACATATCTACCAAGGTGCGAAACATTTGGCGGCGGCCAAACACGAGCGGGGCTTGCTACGCACTGAGAGCAGGACGGATTGCAAGCGCGGCGCATCCCCACTCCCTTCTCAGACCCGCGAGGCCGCAACTTGGGCACGGAGCTTTATGAGAGTGGTGGGGGCCAAGCCCATGCCTCCAAAACCCGAAGTGGCCCGGGGGGGCCCTGTCTTGCCCAGTCTGGCGGAGTTTCAAACCTGGGAGACCTTTTTCCCCAGCTCTGCGGGGTTCGGCACAATGATACTCTCGCTCGAACTGACTACGCCGCTGGCGTTGCAGCTGGCAACAAGCGCCGTTGTAACATCTACTGATTTACTTTGCACCAAATGGCTGCGCCCCGTGACTCTTTGGGACATGTCGCCCAATCGCGCGTCTAACTGGAGCGGCATATACTTGGCACGCATGTCGCGTAAGATCTCCCAGAGAGCAACCCCGGCGAAGTCGACAGACTGGCTGCAGCCCGCTAGGGGCCGCAAAACGGATCGATGGGCTCGCTGAGCCCTCCTTCGGCCCTGAGACGCCCCGGGCAGAAATCGATTCGCATCGCCAGGAACCAAAGGTCCATCGGGCACTTGGCTGTCTTGCCAAGCCTCAAGATTTCACAACACTGGAGGCGGCCGCAAAAATCTCGAGATCCCACACGATTTCGCGCCGCGAGAACTGCCGGCGACCTCGAGTCTAAGCTCTCGCAACAGCGCCGCTCTTAGCGGCGAGCCCCCCTTCACCGCCCGACCCCAAAACTCCGCGCCCTCCCCCGCCCACCCCGCGACCTGCCCCCTTCTCAACACTGACCAGATCCCGCGCAAGCCCTGGGCTGGGGCGATGGGGCGGTCGGCTTGGGCCGACCTATAATTTAGCTGGACGAAGTTATCTTCGACTTGCATGGGCCATTCCAGGTTGGCCTCTACCCCGCTGCAGCACTCCGGGCAAACTGGCAAGTCCCTCATCTGGCCGCTGGGCCCACAATCGTGGGTTCTGGCAATCGAGCCCCATTCCTGCAACGCACCTGAAACACTTAAAGCCCCGCATGCAACTGCTCGATGGTGAGAGGCCCCATCTCAGCAAAACTGGCTAGGGCACAGCCACTGCAGTCATTCCACCAGGCGGTCTACCGGGGCTTGCCTCTCGGCATCCATTCGGGGTCCTTGGGGCGCCAAAGCTGAAGCCATAAACGCGCCTTGATGGCAACAAAATTTCATCGTTCACGGATGGTTCTACCGGCATCATCTACTTCTTGGCGCTTCTGTCGCAAGGCTGGGGCCAGCCGTGCCCCGCGTCTTGGCCCAACGGCGTAAGATGCCAGCCCCGACGCGCAGGCCGTCGACCACCCAAGCTTTCAAACCCTTGATGTGGCCCCTCGAGATGCCCCTGCCCAACCCTGGAACCGCCCCCACTAGCCCGCGGCTCTGGCAAGGCTGCTAGCTTGGCAAAGCTGGCCCGGCAGCATGCGTTCTGCTAAGTGGCCCCCAGCCCCTGGCACTCAGAGACCTGCTTCTGCATGCTGCCCCAGGCCCTGGCGATGAGGTGCGGGGCCCTGCCCCTGGCGACCGTTGCCCGCAGCTCCTTGACGCGCGCCTCCAGCGCCTTCTGCCTCGCAAGCCCAGTAGCTACCTTCATCCAGCGAGAAGGTCGCTCGCGGTTCGACCACTTATATCCGTCGGCTGCCCTGACCTGATGGGGGCCTCGCTGACGTCCACGGTGACGTCTCGCCGGCAGAGCAAGTGCTCGGCGGCCATGGCGAACTCCATGTGCGAGCGCGAGACCTGCCTCTTCTGCTGGCTGAGGTTCTGCATGCGCCCCGTGGCCACGCAGGATTCAACTGCACACTGTACTGCATCAGCGTGGTCGGCCCATTCCCTGCAGGGGACCGTCACCCCAGCCGCGATCTGCGCTGGCGCCAGTGGTATTCCGCACTCGTAGCGCAGCCCCTCAAGGTCGAGCTCAGCCTCGATTCCGAAGCGCGGCATTGCCCAGGGCCCTGCCGTGCCCCATTCCAACTTGAGCGTCGCGCGTAGGTCCTCTGAAATCATAATGTAGCGAATGGCCCGCCCTCCGTTGGGGCGATCTCCAAGCGTTATCAGGTGCCCCAGCCAGAGGGCCCTAATCTCCTCCAGCGTCATGTTCCAGTCGCCCATGGGCAGGAATGGCCTGCCTGTCGCGGCAACCAGGCTGGCGATCACCCATCACGACTAAGGTTGCAGTCAGCAAGGCCCATGCCCACGACGAAGTACGCCGCGAAGAAAAGGAGCTCGATCCAGCCCTCGAACCTGACGATCTGGCCCGCCCACTGGGCGTTGACACTAGCGCGCTCGGGCTGCTTGCGGAGCTTCTTGCGCCCCGGCGAGATGGGCCAGCTCATGGGCCCCGACCTGTTCTGCAGGGTCACCCCGACGTCCCCGGCGGCCTCCATTGAGGGCGGCCGCGCACGGGATCTGGGCCCCTTTCCAACAAAAAATCCTCAGCTTCTTGACTGCATGGTGAGCTTCGAGCCAGCCCAGCGGTGCTCCATAAATCCGCACATCAGCAGGCTGCCATCCCCTGCCTCACGCCGCTGGTCGTCTTCCTCGAGGAAGTCCCAGCACATCTCGCCAAAGCTCGCGACGCGGCGATATGCAAATTGAAAACATGAATATTGCCCTTGCCCCGCCGATGCGACCTGCCACCCGTTTCGGCGCCCCCCGTCGGCGCGGGACGGGGGCTGGGCGGGGCCAGGCAGGGATCAGCGGGGAGGTTGTCGCCCCAGTCGTCGACGCCAGCACCATCGACGCCCTTGCCCCACCAATGCGACTTGCCACCCGTTTCGGCGCCATCCGTCCGCAAGGGACAAGGGCTGGGTGGGGGACCAGGCAGCGATCGGCGGGGAAGAAGCCGCCCCCGTCGTCAGCGTCGCCCCCGCCCATGCCCATCCACTCGAGTCCGCAAAACTGCGACGGCGAACCAGGGAGGCCACCCCCTGGACTTTGCGACCTACCACCCTGCAAAGCCGAGCTGGCCCCTCCACCAGGGCACGCCAACCCTCCTTGCGCTGGCCCACAAAACTGCGACGAATGAACCAGGGAGGCCATCCCCTGGATTTGCGCTCTGATGCCGCCGTCTCTGCCCCATCGTGATGCAACGACGCATGGAATGAGCGGGCTAATCACGTCCGACAGGTAGGTGATCCTCTCCAGGCTGTCGCTCGAAAAGGCTAAACTTGCTGCTCTCTTTTTGGGCGCCTGAAGCCCATTCAAGGAATGCACGTTTCTCTCCTTCGTGCTGCTCCCATAGCTTGTCCAGTTCGTCCTCGCCCATGTCCTCGCCGAGGTATGGTAGGCTGTCCCCTTGGCCAGCGTTGGGATCGTCGGCGGCAGCAGCAGCAGGGCGCGGCTCCACTTTGAGCATGCCCATAAGTTTCCCCCAGGCCAGCGACCAGGAGCTCCATGACGCCGGGTGCCAACTCAACCTTGGCTTTGTCGATGGCATGCATGTCCCGTGGCGTAGTAGATTTGACGGGCAACGTGTGGACCAGCAGCTGCTTGACGTTCTCGATATGCTTTCCCATCGCCGCTCGCTGTTCCGTGAGCTTGGCCTCCAGCGCGCGGGCCTCCTCGATGACCCGCTTCTGCCTCTCGAGCTCTTTATCCAGCGTGAACATCTTGGCCTCCAGCCCTGCGAGCTTGTGGCCGGCAATCGTGTGTTGAGTGAGCTCAGGCTTGGTGTTGTGGAGCTCACGCTGCGCCTCCGCCTGCTTAGCTCGCAGGCGCTCGATATCGTCCTTGTCCGCTTCGGGATCCAGCTCCTTGGCCATCCTGCGGAGCATGCTGATCCTCTCGCGGAGCTTGTCAGCCTTGGCCTGACTCTCCGACCCAGCGTTGGACGATCCACCTCCATCCTGTGCTGCCATTGCTTACACCGCCCCCAACTTCGCAGGCTGAACCTTGAGCAGCCATTGGACGAGGGATGAGAGCTGAGCGATTGACTTACTGGTATCCTGGAGCTGCTTAGCCCAGGCGCCCCCAGGCGGGGGGTACGGCCCAGGCTTCGGCCCCTTGACATTCTGATGTTTCCTTGCATTCAGGCGGGCACGATCGGTGATACTCCTGGGGGCGCTGGCCCCACATGCGCATTTGACCCTGCACGCCCAACTCGAGCTCCTCCCGCACGCGCATCCCCTGACGGGTTCCCTTGGCCCAGGCAGGACCGCTGGTTCTCCCGCGTCGTTGCCTTTGCCCATCTACAGCCTGACTGGCTGGGCGTTCGCTGAAAGCTTGCTTGCTCCCTCAGAAGCTCACCGAGACGCACCGTGGGCGAGGCCGTGGCGGCTGCCTACACACAGTGCAAAAGCTGTCCTGGCCAGCTGCCTGGACAAAATGGCAACTTGAGCCAAAACGGCTGCGGCCTCCTCCTCCTCCTCCTCCTCCTCATCATCATCATCATCATCATCATCATCATCATCATCATCATCATCCTCTTCCTCTTCCTCCTCATACTCCTCCTCCTCCTTCTCCTCACGGGACTTAGCAGACAGCCAAAACGACGCACACGGCGCGATCCGTTTGCAGGACATGCGGAGGGCACGCGCAACATGCACGTGCGGAGGACAGGGCACGCCCGCCGGCACGACGGGCGAGTGCTGGAAAGATGTGTGGCCACGTGTCCACAAATCGCCCAGGCTAGCCTCGTCAGGTGCACCCAGCTTCCCGGTGCCATGCCGCACGGGCCTTTTTCTTGATCGCGTAGCTGTTCGACGACTCCTTCGCCGCGTTCATGATCTCGTCAGCCAGCGCCTGCCAGAGATGCAACTTGTGGGAGGAATTAGAAAACGCATGCCGCACCCCGAGGCGCGAGGCCGCCGCTTCGATTCCGAACCTCACAATTCCATTCACTATGTGTTGTCCATTTCGCCTCCCGGGCTCATCCTCCCGCCGAGACAGCATGCTGTCTAGTGCATTGAAATTACAGGATCAGTCTGACTCACATGGTCATAACATGTACGGTGGGCACTTTTTACATTGTTCGTGATAACGCCTGTGCGCGGCCCCGCCCCCCTGCCTCCTCCCCCACTCGATTCGCGACGATGCCGTCTGGGAATGAGCCAACCTTCGACATTCCCAGACAGCGCCGGCGCGAATTGTGACGTTATCGGCCCCCTTCCTCCTGTTCCCCCAAACACCCCCCCAGCTGATGTCGACGATAGATCGCCGATAGATCGGCCAGAGGCTCCCCACGGCGAAGCCGCACGTTCATGGGCGTGGTGGGCTATCGGGCCCCTATCGGGCGACGAATGGGCAATTGGGGGTCGATGCATCCCCCACCGAGCCCAGCCCCCCCTTACGTTGCCCCTGGCTCCTCCTTCCTCCTGCTTTGACTTCAATGCACGCCGCGCGGAACAGCCTCGGCGATGGACTTGATGTTGCGGAAGGCGCTGTTGCGGGCGCCTGTGGTGATCAAGTAGATCGCCTGTGCCCAGCAGGGACCACTTGTGCAATTCTGTGCTGCTATTCTTTTCTCTGTGTCGCTGTTGTTCTGCTTGCCCTCGCATTCTGCTTCGCCATCAGCGCCCTGGCCCGCTGACCCCCGAACGCGCGCTCGGACCCCAGGACCCCAACAGTCGAACGAGAAGTTCAACGTGGACCTGGCGCGACCCCATGAAAGGCATCCTTTCAATATCATACAGCATAAGAGCGCATTGAATAGATCAGCGGAGCATGCCAAATATCATACAGCATAAGAGCGCATTGAATAGCACAGCGGAGCATGCCAAAGCATTGCGCAGCCGCGGCATGGACTGGTATTCAGTTGCATTGCATGGCATAGATTAGCATGGCATGAAACCGACACGGGCATTGCATAGCGAAGCATAGCATCGCATAACATCGCATAGTATCAACAACTGCATCAGCAGTAGCACTAGCAACATTTGCTGCAACACCAGGCCACGAGGACCCGGACTGCAAGGGAGCGCCAAACCGCGCCTCTCTCCACCCTGCAGGCTGGCCAGAATCGACACCACTCTCGGTCCCCAGCGGCCCGTCGGGGCGATCCCGGCACCCACTGAACGCTCTCGGCGAGGCGCAGCTGCTGAAACGCACCCCGAGGCAAGAAACCCTGTAGGAGCCCACGAAAACATCGGAAAACCTCGCCGAAGCAGCGGCGAACCGACATCGATCGGATCGAAATGGGCCCAAGTGCGACGACGAATCGATATCCATCCGAAACTGGGCGCCTCTGGCGCCGCCCGCGCTCCTCTCGGGAGGGGGGGGGGGCGACGTCGGCGCCCGCACTGTCTTGCAGCTTGGCGGCGCACCAAAGCGAAGCGAAGCAGAGCGAAGCTAAGCGCGAACACCAGTCCTGCGCGCTCCCCTGGATAGCCCGCCCGTGTCCACTACCCGCCGTTCGGAAGAACTGGGTAGGAACATGAAGGAGCAAGGCGCTGATTGAGAGTAGGTTGGGCTTCCGCACGCGCCCTCTAGAGGAAGGAAAATCGAAAACACTCGACACTTGAAATGAGAAGGCGCCTGAAGTAGACTGAAGCCTCGGAACCCCAATGAGGATCCAGAGCGCCAAACAGAACCCCCTCGATCCTCGAACATCGAGGATCAAGAGGAGGCGGCGACGGCGGAGGCTGGGAGGTACAGCGCACTAACAGTATGGTGCAGGAGAGCACCAACTGCACTGAAACACCGATCCTGGGCCCAAGATTGGCATGGCCAGGATCGGTGTAGGTGCAACTACAGTCGACGGCCTCCGAAAAATTGTGCATCGTCAGCCGGACCTGCCGGCCTCCGCGGACCCTGGGAGTTCCGATGCTAGGCCCCCCGCCCCACGCCGCCCCCCCTGGGAAAGCTCAAAAACCACTGGCAACATGAAGACATAATAAACCTGCGGGATTCGCTCAGGGCAGCAGGCACACAAAGGCACCTTTTCACCCATACCTGGCCAGGCCATCCTGGGCCCTGGCATGATGCGTAAGCCCTCCAGGCAAGGAGGGCCTGAACACATCCCAGGTCCCAGGGCCTATGGCCCTACCAGAGCATCGTGGTGAAAAGGTAGTTTCTGCGGACCACCCCACCTGAGCAGCGCAGCAAAGGAGAGGAAGAGAGGAAGACCGAAGAGGAGAGGAAGCTCAATACGGCCCTCCCCAAGCAACGCGTTTGGGGAACTCCTGGGGGTGTGCGCCAGCGGCCGCGGAGCCCACGACACCAGCCTGTCTGGGCGGGGGCGGCGCGGCGGCGCCGCGCCTGCATCGGAAAGATGTCCGAGAGGCTTCTGGAGGAGAGGAGGACCCTCATGCGCGACCTAGGAAGCCCACATACTTATAATAGGTCTGGCGTGATAATAACTGAAGTGAAACATGCGAAAATGATGCTGGTGGCCGTTGCCCCGCCGATACTGTTGTTGACGCCTGCCACGCCTTGGGAGCCGAGACGAGACCTGCCCCTGCGCACCCCCGGTGGTTTGGAGAAAATACCAGGCCTGCCACGCCCCGCGACCCTGAGACGGATAGAGACCGCGGTGAAGGACCACCCCCTACGCACCCCCTGTGGTGTGGAGAAACCGCAACGCCTGTCGCACCCCGCGACCCTGGGACGGATAGAAACCACGGAGAAGGACCATCCCCTACGCACCCCATGTGGTGTGGAGAAAATGCCACTCCTGCCACGCCCCGCGACCCTGGGACGGATAGAGGACCACAGTGAAGGACCACCCCCGCCACACCCCGTGTGGTGTGAAGAAAGTGCCGCGCCTGCCACGCCCCGCGACCCTGGGACGGAGAGGGACCACCCCCTACGCACCTCTTGTGGTGCGGAGAAAGTGCCACGCCTGCCACGCCCCGCGACCCTGGGCCGGATAGAGACCACGGAGACGGACCACCCCCTACGCACCCCCTCTGGTGTCGAGAAAATACCACTCTTGCCAAGCCACGCGACCCTGGGACGGATAGAGACCACGGAGACGGACCACCCCCTACGCACCCCCTCTGGTGTCGAGAAAATACCACTCTTGCCAAGCCACGCGACCCTGGGACGGATAGAGACCACAGTGAAGGACCACACCCTACGCACCCCTTGTGTGGCATGGCTGAGCCGAGCATCCGGAAGGACGCGTGGGCAGAAGAATGCACAATTGGCAGTCTTCGTGACAATGCAAGGGAGATTTTGCAGATGGATTGCGTGAACACAGAGGCTCGACTGTGAAGCAGAAAAAATGGAGCGTCTCACGACTGACGCAGGAAACGAGAGGGGAGCAGGAGGGGGAGGAAGGAGAGAGGGGGGAGGGGGGGGGACGAGGAGCGTGCGGTTTGAAGTTACTCACGAAACAAATCGTACACTGAAGTCGCCCACTGCTGTCGCGGGCGCCCTCGTTTCCGGCGGCGTGATCAGGGAAGGGTCCGGGGACCTGGCCATTGTATTGTACAGATCTATTTGGCGTTCCTTCAGAGACTCAAATAATGGCGTCGACGACGCTCACTGCAATACTTCATCGTTGCGAACGCGAGAAATCAACGAGTGGGGAATACCAAGTATGCGTCGCAAGCATTTGCAATGAAAGCTGTCCAATTTGGACCTGTCTGCTTTGAGCAACCATACAGAATCCAAAGAATACATAAGCTTGCTGAGTACGCAGCTGGAATGTATTATGTATTTCCGCTTTCTTCCCATTGACGCGTGGGCTCATATCCGGTCCAATTGCTTGAAAGTCTTCGTCGCTTCCCCCAATCGCCTGGTCACCTCCGTCGTCGCCTTCCCGTCGCGCGTGATCAGCCCCCCGAGGTAGATGGCTTCGCGGACAGTTTTGATTGGCTCGCCGGTCGGCCTGGGAATTCTGCTGCCCGTTGAAATATTCATTTGCGCTGTTTTTTCTCCCAATTCAATTCCAGCCCGTACTTTTCTCCTTCAGCAACAAGTGCCGCCAAAAGGCCAGTCAAGTTTGCGACGCGTCGTGAAATAAGCAGCGTGTCATCAGCGTAAAGGATATCACGCGCCACTACAAATGCCGGTTTTGTTTGGAGGTCAACAGTGCGAAATACGTCGTCCAGCATCACACTTTGAATGATGAAAAATAAGTAGGGCGACAGATGGGCATCCTTGCCTGCACGCTGTTTTCTTTCCGATGACGTGCCAGCGCGGTCCAGAATGGTAAAATATCTTGCCGCGTAGATTGACCTTATAAGCTGAACCATGGGGGAAGGAACCCCGAAACGTAGAAGCGCGCCACACATGCAGTCCGGCTTGATCCTATCAAATGTTTTGGCCCAGTCAAGCATGAGTAGAGAAAGCCCCCCGTCGTTGTCCAAGTGCGCAGCGTCGACCATACGCCTCACTAACATTAGCGCGTCTTCGGTTCCTTTCCCTGGTCTGAACCCATATTGCGATTGTCGCAAGCGAGGCTCTGATCCGCCCTGAACCAGGCACCGGTGAAGAAGTGCTGCTAATACTTTATATCCGACTGGTAATAATGAGGTAGGCCTGTAGTTTGCCGGTAAGGCCGCACTTCCCTTTTTGAAGAGCAAAACCACATGCGAGCGTCTCCATACTTCTGTAATCGATTTGTGCCCCCAGCACTTCTGACACACGTCCGACAACATGTCGCACGCAATAGAATCTGACCCCAAGATTTCCCAGACATCTGGCGGGATATCGCCTGGGCCCGCGGCCTTCCCTTTCTTGAGTTTTTGCAGTACTGTCTTCAACTCACTGGTGGTAAAAGGAGAAGTGTCCACAGGAAGTGCGCCACCCAAAAGTGCATTATGATCTGGGCATGTGCCCCGAAATTTGCACCCCCAGCGCTTGTTCTCAAAATAGTCCGCTATCACGTCAGCTCGTTGTTCCGTGCCGGCTGGAGCGCCATCAGGGCGCTGTATAATAGCATGTTGTCTTTTCTTTGGCTTCCGCAAGTGTCGAACAGCATCCCAATTCCCACTCTTAGCAAGATCGTGTAACCATGCTTATCGGTCTTTCTGACCAGATTTTCCCATCAAGATGCGAAGTCGTTTCTCATGATCGTGATCCCCAGCTCGCCGGCAAGCGCCGCGTTCAGCAATCAAGTCGAGTGCACCCTGGCTCGCCCATGGGCGTTTCGCTGCAGATCGCGAAACCGGCAAGACAGCTGCTGCTTCAGCAAAGGCACGTTGTAGATCGGCTGCTGCGGTGTCCAAGTTGTTGGCGGCTTCCCGCGGTAGCATTGCGTTTACAAATGCGTTCGAACATCTGCGTTGCGTTTCCAAGTCGCGTAAACCCCGCACGTCCACTCTCTGCATAGGTTGTTTCTGCTGCGTTTCGAACTCTATGTGCATGTCCGCAACCAAAAGGAAATGCCGACTATTTAATGCGTCTGTGCGGCTGCTCCAACAGTCCGTGATGGTGTCGATCATTGCTTGATGGCATAATACGTGATCTATATGAGAGAATGTTGACGTCGTAATGTTGTTGTCCATTGGATTGACTCCCAAGCTCCGG